AAACGCGTCTACGACTCATTGATCGCTTAATTTAAATTCCTCAATTAATAAGCAATTATTAAAAAAATATACATTGAAATTGTCCCTCTAAATTAAAGCATCATAATAATTACCAAATATGACACTTTATAATATATTTATTAACCCGATCGAAATGAATCGGTGATTTTAATAGATTACTTCTTAGAAATGCATAGCTAATATTGAAATCTCTAAATTAAATTACTATAAATTAAATAAAGTTTAATCTAATAGATTAATTAAAACAATTCAATAAAAAAATCAGAAATAAATCGAAATATCTCATAATCAACCATTTCGAACTTTTTTACTTCTTGGAATTAAGACTGTAGATTCAGATAGATCATATTTTATAATTTTATAGAAGCTTCCTTAGGATTTTAATTAATATCACTAACTAAATGATAATCTCAATTAAATAAGTGCCCAAAATAAAAAAATTATTAAATTAAATTAAGCCCAAAAACAAGATCCAATTAATTAAAAATTTGGGCTTTTTATTATTATCATTTAATTTTTTTAAAACAATCTAGCCCAAAATTTGTAAGACTAATTTCCCTAATTTCTTTATTTTACTTTCTTTTTCTTTTATTATTTTCAAGATTTGACCTTCCTTCCATTCGAGTGTTAAAACTCTTCCTTTCCTTCTTTACCCTTTTATCCGGTTCCACATTTTGTCATTTCTTATAGCCCCATGATTTGGTCGTTGACACACATCATATTACCATTCCTATTTCACCTTATCAGTGATATAGTACGTAAAATAAACATCAATAACTACTGCATATGGGTAAATGTTTTTGATATTGGACATACCGGATGCTACGTCATGAGTTTCTTTTGCCTCTTCCAAAAAGCCATGTTGTATACCTGACCTCGCCCTTTAAGTAGCTCATTCATCTTATTTGATTCATTTCTTGACCCCACATCTATTATCTTAACATTGTTTGTTGTGCCTTTCGAAATATTAGGACATTCATGTCTCAAGGTGTCTAATGGCTCCACATTCGTAACAAGACTTCCTCTTAGGGTAGTCTCATACAGTATGCCCTGGTTTCCCACATCCATCACATGTTACACTCCCAGCCTTACACTCACCACCATGTCTCCGGATACATACGTTGCATTGAGAGATAATAAAACCATCATTTTGTATCGTTTCTAGTGTCGATGTTTCATTCGCCTTTTCCGTCGACTTACTAGAATCCCCCCATTTTTGTTTGATATCATGCCTTTCTCTTATTGCTTTGATGTTATTCTCCTCAGCCACCATCGCCATTTCCACAGTTGAACAAAAGTGTTCGATTTGTCATATTTGTGTACTGTTTTATCTCGATCTGGAGTCTATCCTTGAAACAATCTATTTTCCTTTGTTCAATCGTCAACTGGTAACTAGGGAACCTAGCTTTCTCCAAAAAATTGTTCACATATTCCTGAGCTGATGAAGATCCAGCCTCAGAAACTCTGACTCTAGATTATTTATCTCTGACTTTTATCCATCATCATTTTCTTCACTTGCTCCTAGATCAGGGAAGCTATGTCTTCATCCCCTCGAATTGTGCATTCGGCTTCCCACAATTAGAGTGCCAAATCCATTAAAGTAGTGGCAGCATAAGTCACCTTTTGTTCCTTTGAATATTTGCAGATCTTAAAACATCTTTGCATCTCAGTCACCAGTTCATGAGAGCAACTGGACCCTCAATACCTTAGAACTCCTTTGGATGAGTGTTACTAAAGGTTTTGTAACTGAGTCCTTTTTTCCCTCACATGTGGCTCTTCCGTTGATTCCATTGGCAATTCAACTTTCTCCTTGACTAATGGTTCCAACCTTTCAGTGGTTTGGGAGTTAACCAAGTTTTTCTGGGTGCTTGCTTCCTCCTCTTCTTCGAGACCCTTGAATCTATCACCAACATCACCTTTTGGCATGTTTGAGAGTGTATTTTGGAGGACTTGAGTCATTCTTTCAGTTATTACCTCATTACCGAGCTTGCATCTACAAAAGGAGTAGCACTTGAGCTTGCGATAACACCATGACCACGACCATGACCTCTTCCTATTGGTGGTGGCATATTGTTGACTCCCTCTCCAATGGTAGCATTTCTTGCAGATCCATGTGAAACCATACTGATTACAATAGGGTGATATTAAAATCTGATTACCTGATACATACGATAAATAGAAAACTAAGACTACTATTTCAAATCCCATATCCATAAAGTATCATCCATGCGTTAATAATTTCAAGAAAGAGATAGTCAATACATAATCCTACTATAAATATCAAAATTCGGGTTTTCTAAGTCACACCTTCAAAATATTAAATAAAAAAAAAAAACATCCCAAGCTAAATATCAAGTTTAAACACTGAAGAAAAATAAGTCAAATCTCTATCCCTCTTGCTAACCAGTATTATCTAGGTTATAACATTATTAGCCATTCATGCACTTTACCATGTTTCTATAGCTCATGAGAGTGAGAAATATTGCAGGATTTCCAAATGGAGCTTTGAAGGCCTATTGCGGTGGTGGAGGACCATTTAATTACAAAACGTCAGCTCCTTGTGGATCTCCATCATCGACAACATGTGCTCAACCAAATATTTATCCTAATTGGGATGGACTACATTTGCCAGAAACATCATACAAATTGATCTTTAAGAGTCTATTTGACGGTTCATACACCATACCCACATTTAATTCTTTGTGCCGTACAACATTACAAAGGAGAGGTAGATCATCACAATTTGCATAAGCAAATACTAGTATTTAAGTTATGAACTCTATCAAGTCTCAAGTTCAAGTAATCTAACCACTACTAGAAAAACAGGTATCAGCGACGAATATCAGCGAGGGAAAATTTCCCTCGCAGATCAGCGAGGGATCAGCGAGGGAAATGCCAAAAAACTCATTCCCTCGCTGTTCCCTCGCTGTTCTGCGAGGGAATATTTCCCTCGCTAATCCCTCGCTGATCAGCGAGGGATCAGCGAGGGAATTGCCAAAAAACTCATTCCCTCGCTGATCCCTCGCTGATCTGCGAGGGAAATTTTCCCTCGCTGATACCTCGTTGATCAGCGAGGGATCAGCGAGGGAAATACCAAAAAAATCTTTCCCTCGCTGATCCCTCGCAAATTTGCGAGGGAATTTTCTTCTACAAAATCCCTCGCTGATCCCTCGCTGATTTGCGAGGG